GAGCTACAGCAATGTAAGAAGCAATGTTCTTCTCAAAAGACCAGTTGTGACTGTAAATGAAGCTTATGCCATAGTGACACAGGAGGAGAGTCATCGAACACTAGGTGTAGTTGACACAAATAGAGATCCATTGATTATGCTTGCAGGAAAAGTACAGGGTTTTAAGCCTAAGAAGTTTGGACTGATTTATGAATATTGTGGCTACAAGTGACATTTGAAGGAGAGCTGTTACAAAATTGTTGGCTATCCAGCTGACTTTAAAAGCAAAAAGAAACCTCAGCCAGGAGGAAACAGATCTTTTGTCAATGCTACAAGAACTGAAGAAACAGGAGGGACAAGCACTCAGCCACAAGGCCATTTCCTCACTGGAGAATAGTATCAACAACTTATAGGGCTTCTGAACAAGCAAGGAGGTGAAGAATGCTCTACAAATATAGCAGGTATTATGACTTTACTATCCAATATTCCTCTAACTAGTTGGATAGTAGACTCTGAGGCAACTCATCATATTGCTCATGATAAGAATATAATGAGTAATATAAAACAATTTGGAGGACAGGGAGTTCAATTGCCAACAAGAAATAAGACAGAGATAATGTATACGGGAAAAACTACTATTTTAGGAGGCAAATGTATAAAGGATGTATTGCATGTGCCAGATTTCAAGTTTAATTTGCTGTCAGTAGCAAAACTCACTAGAGACCTCACTTGCACAGTGAAGTTCTTCCCTGATTTTTGTGTGTTGCAGGGACTTTACAGTGGCAAGGTATTGGGGATTGGTAGATAATCTGATGGTCTATACATACTAAGGGAATATGCACAAGCAACATGCATAACAGTAGGAGCAGTAATAAAAGAAGAGCAAACACAACTTTGACACTACAGACTGGGACATGCATCATGGAATTCTATACAACATATATCATCTCTACAAGACAAGATATGTGCAGGACAATCAAGAAATTGTAGTGTTTGTCCTCTAGCTAAACAGAGTAGATTGCAGTTTTCTAACAGTGTAAGCAAGTCTAAAGTAGTTTTTCAGCTGGTTCATTTAGATGTATGGGGTCCCTACAAGACACATACATATGATAGAAAGTATTACTTTATGACTACGGTTGATGATTTTACTAGATACACATAGGTATGCTTGATACAATCGAAGTGTGAAGTGTGTGTTGTATTGAAGAATTTTATTGCAATAATAAAGACACAGTTTGACACTGGAATCAAGACCATGAGATCAGATAATGGTACAGAATTTTTCAATGCCAAGTGTAATGAATTGCTGGCTGAAAATGGGATCATACATGAAAGTAATTGCCCATATACTCCTAAACAAAATGGCATAGTTGAGAGAAAACATAGGTACATTCTAGATGTTGCTAGGGCACTGAAACTTCACAGTGGAGTACCTTTGAAATTATGGGGTGAATGTATTAGGACTGTTGTATACTTAATCAATAGACTCCCAATTTCAGTGCTGCAAGGCAGGACACCATATGCTATGCTCTATGGGAAGTCAACTATCTTGGATCATTTGAGAGTATTTGGATGTCAAAGTTTTGCTTGTAATCTTCCTAAAGGAGACAAATTTTCTCCCAGAGCAAGGAGAGAAGTGTTCATTGGATATTCTGAGACACAAAAAGGTTATAGACTATATGATCTTGATACTCATGTAGTCTTTGTTAGCAGTGATGTCAAATTTCAGGAGTATGTTTTCCCTTTCAAACAGACTTCTAACAACCCTAATGAAGAAGCATTGTTTTCAACATCTGTTGAACCTATTTTTTTTATCTCAATCCACCTTCCCAGCATACACAATCTACCTCACAAGATGAGGAAGCCACCTTTACACCCATCTTGACAGAACCTGAAATAACATTAGAGGGTTTTGAGACTGTTGCTATTAATGAAGGCCAGGAACCAACTTCCCAGGTGGAGGAGTCAACTTCCCAGGTGGAGGAACCAGCTCCCCAAAATGACATGTTGATCAACTCACCTTCCGCTACTACCATACCTCCACCTGCTACAATTGTTGAAAACACCAGACCTCACAGACAAATCAAGCAACCACTCTGGCTCAAAGACTATGTCACCACTAAACTACCAAGCAAATATATATATCCTATGTCCAATCATCTATCTTATACTCAACTTTCAACTGCATATTAGACATATCTTCAAGCTTTTTCTGCTTCAGTGGAGCCTACATCATACAAGGAAGCAGCAACAAATCCAGACTGGGTACTTGCTATGCAACTAGGGGTGTTTGTCGGTCGGTACGGTACGGTATTTAGACATTTCGGTTCGGTATTTTCGGTATTCGGTTTCTTAAAATCCTTTACCAATACCGTACCTAATTAAATTCGGTATGGTTTGGTTATTCTCCTTTAGGTTTCGGTTTATTCGGATCGGTAACTTCGGTTTATTCGGTTTGAATACTAACTAGTGCATAGAGCCATATACTCTAATATTCTTAATTAAAGTACTCAAAAATACAAAATTGAAAATGTTTGTTGACTAAAATTTTGTCCAAAACTAGCAAATATCGACCCAAATAGAGAAAATTGTACATAAAAGAATATTTTATCATTAGAAATGTCTTGTTACTTGTTTAGAGTTAATTGATGAACTTTGAGAATAAAGGAAAGTAAAATTTTATATTTTTTATATTTATGTTATAATTGATAATATGTGTCTTGTATAATATAATATATATTTCGGTACGGTATCGGTATTTCGACATTTTATCTTAAAATACCAAATACCATACATAATACCAATTTTTTAAAAATTTAAACCAAATACCATATCAAATACCAAAATACCGTATACCAAATACCAAAATTTTCGGTTTCCGTATGGTAATTCGGTGTTTACCAAATTATGCCCAGCCCTATATGCAACAGGAAATCAAAACTTTAGAAGACAATCATACATGGGAGATTGTAAATCTTCCACCTAATAAACAGGCTATTGGATCCAAATGGGTGTACAAAATCAAGTATAAAGCCAATGGTGAGGTTAAAAGGTTTAAAGCTCGATTGGTAGCCAAAGGCTACACACAACAGGAAGGCTTAGATTATCATGAAACGTTTTCTTCTATTGCTAAGATGGTGACTGTCAGAACTGTCATTGCTATTGCAGCATCTAAAGGCTGACCTCTTTTTCAAATGGATGTCAAAAATGCATTCCTACAAGGGGACTTATGTGACGAAGTCTACATGCAGCTACCTCAGGGATTTCACAGTCAAGGGGAGTCTAAAGTATGTAGACTGCTTAAATCCCTCTATGGCCTCAAGCAAGCCTCGAGGCAGTGGAACATCAAGTTAACACATGCACTATTACAAGTTGGTTTCACTCAGAGCTCATATGATCATTCACTATTCACCAAAAGGGATAAGGCAGATATTGTCATTGTATTGGTATAAGTGGATGATCTTCTAATATCAGGAAGTAATAGTAGTTTGATTCAGGAAGCAAAGGAGACTCTACACAACAATTTTAAGATGAAAGACTTAGGGAAACTCAGTTACATCCTGGGAATTGAAGTGATGAGATCCAACAAAGGCATTTTACTCAACCAGAGAAAATATGCCTTGCAACTGATCTCAGAAGTTGGACTAAGTGCTTGCAAGCCAGTATCTACACCAATGGAACAAAATCACAAGCTTACCACAGTTGAATATGACAAGCATGCTGGAAATATCAATGATGCAGAGTTGCAGGAAGCAATCAAAAGCTAATTGGTAAGCTATTGTATTTAACAATCACAAGGCCAGACATATCCTTTGATGTCCAAGTATTGAGCCAGTTCATGCAACATCCTAAAGAGTCACATATGGAAGCAACTCTAAGGGTTGTCAAATATGTTAAAGGAAGGTCATGTCTGGGAATTTTACTAAAAGGTGAAGCCACTGATGAGCTCACAACATACTGTGACTCAGATTGGGCAGCCTGCCCAAACACTAGGAGGTCAGTGACAGGTTATGTGGTGAAATTGGGTGATTCTCTACTGTCCTGGAAATCCAAGAAACAACAAACTGTTAGTAGAAGCTTTGCAGAAGCAGAATACAGAAGCATGGCAGCAGCTGTCGCAGAGCTCATATGGATGATGGGTCTGTTGGAAGAACTGGGAAACAAAGTAAAGGAACCTATACATCTACATTGTGACAGTAAGACAACATTACAAATTGCAGCAAATCCAATTTTTCACGAAAGAACAAAGCACATAGAAATCGACTGTCATTTTATAAGGGAAAAGATCAAGAAAGGAATGGTCACAACTAACTACATTCCCACAAAGCAACAGATGGCAGATCTAATGACAAAAGGACTTGCAGCAGCCCAACACAAGTTACTCTTGGACAAGCTAGGAGTGCTCGATGTATTCCACCCCGAAAAATGTTGGTTTATGTTTAGTCAACAATGGCATGCCAATTGAAAGAGTTGGTGGAAAGAGTTGGTGTGGATGCTAGGAGGAAGCTTCCTCCTTTGATGTCACCAATGACATCAAGAGGAGGTCTCTACCTCTATAAATAGATGCACTCCTTCACTTGTAGAAATCATCCCAAAATAATACAATACATTGTAGTGCGTAGAGAGTTAAGAGAGAAATTCTTTTAAGTGTAATTTGGAAATCTCCCCTTCCTTTGTTAATATTAAAAGGGCAATTGTTCTCTGGTGGACGTAGGATTATTTTGATCTGAACCACGTTAAATCTTGTGTTCTTTCTTTTACGTTTCCGCTAACACACCCTCTAGCTTGAGGGGGAGTGTTGTGATATAGGATAAATTGTAAGGGTCAACTTGTAATTAGAGAAAGTTGTAATTATTAGTCGGTAAAAAGGGTAGTTAACACTGTTAAGAACAATGTGCTCATATGTTAGAGACACTGAAATAAAAAATCTTCTTCTTCCTTCTCTCTCAAACTTTCCTCCATTGTAGATCCATCTCATTGCATGTTTCAATTACTGAGGATTTACATAGAATCTGTGTAAATTGACAACAACAATCCTAATGGGATATACATACTCAAGTATTAACTTGAGGCAACAGAATATATAATATCCAGGAGACAAGAAGCATCATAGCAATATTACAACAACAAGAGACATTTACCTTTACAAAATGCATTAGTTCATCTTAGAAAAACATGTTTGAACTATTCAAGATGTCTGACACCCCACATAAATCAAGCATAATCCATGCAGTTTCCGAACAAGCCGATGAATTATTGAAATTACAAAATGACTTTAATGTCATCAGTTGAGGAGCTTAATGACTGCTCGGGAGGAAGCCCTAGGCAGATTTAGTAATATTTGAGCAACTTTTAGCAAGTACTCTGGTGAATTTGCATCAAACCTTTTTGCTATGATTACTACATTCTCTAGTACCTTCCCGTTCTTCAAAATGAACTCCAGAAATGGAAACACGGAAGTTTTTGCCACAAATTGGGTAATCTTGACTGTCTTCAAATGGTGTAGCAAACATTTAACCTGCTTTGCTTGTGACGCTAAGTAGTTTGCACCAATAGAAGTGTAGAAATTTTCTGAATCTGCCAACTCCGCGCCTTTTGGCTAGAAAAAATTTCCAAGGTTCGGTTACATTTAGATAGAACCAGAAATGAATAATAGAAATGAGCTCCAGAAGCCAGTAGAGGATCAGACCTAATGGATAATGTTTATTTTTGTTTTTCTTTATGCTTCTTTTCTTTTTATAAGGAGGATGAGATCAATGAATATTATGTCAATGAAAGCATTGTCTAATTCTCTGACAGCGAAAGGAAAAAAGATTTATTTTGGAGAAAACAGAAAATCAGCTCAAGAAAATGTAATGAATGCGGCATTTAGTTTATTAACTGAAGCTAAATTTCCATAACCTGTTCATCGCGAAGATACTGTTGGAAATACTAGTAAAATTGAATATAAACAGTATGAACAAGTTTCGAGGTTATTTGTATATTGAGTTTTTCCAGGTGTTTAAGTCTAATGTGTATGTTTCGAAAGTTGTTCTTGAAGTGTGACATTTGAGTTGAGATATCTTAGATGGTTCATGAAATAAGGAGTATAAGGGTTAATGTAGTAGCTATGCATACGTGAGTCTACTGTGTTCTTTTGTAAGATTAAACTATTCTTAATGTTACTACTGTGCTTTGTGCTATCTCGTTCTTCCATTCTCTTTGAGCCTTATAGTATTAATTTTAACATTTGAATTGTATTATAACCAAGTGCCAGCAAGAGTCCAGTTTAAAATCCAGAATGTTTCTTGGAGTTATGAATCAGGTTTTAAGGGGGTGTTTGATAAATAAACTAGATTCATCCCAAATATATGGATTTTCTTAGTTCATGTATTAGGAGATTAATGTAAGAATGCATGTATGATTAAACTATGAACATGTAAGAAGAATACATATAAAAACCTACATACTTAAATTTTTTGGTTTCTAAGTCAAGTTGAGAGAAGAAATAGCACCATGCTTTCATACCACTTGTCTACAAGAGAATTAGATTGACTGAAAGTGCTTTTTCTCCACAAATTTCTAGCAAATACTCTGGGCAGAATATGTCAGATAAGAAATAGAGAACAAGAAAGTGTAGGAAATATGTACCTGTTCATAGGGTCCATATTCCATGTCTATTATTAGCATCTGCAGAGCTGGTGAACCTTTTAGCAGGTTAACTGTTCCCAAAAGATCATCTTCTTTCATATGTATACTTAACGTGACACATTTGCGAGTTGAAATCTGAGAAGGAATACGTTTCTTCTCCCTTAGTGCTAGAATCTTGTATCATCAAATTCACAGAATCCAGAGGGAAAAAGTAGATATTTTTAGTACCCGTCAGAATTTCAAGAAAAAGAAATTCTGTAATGTGTAGTTATGGGGAAGTTATAATATACAGACACACTGCCAAGCTGTTAATTTCTTAAACCTAGCCATATACTAGTACTAGATCATAAAAAGAAAACATGATAAACTTTTGGCTTGCCTCCTTCTGACATGATCCAAACCAAGCATGGTGCTCCCGTAGAGCATTATGTGCTATTGGTCTTTGTCATTTTCTTAACACAGGCCACATTAGGTGGAAGTCTGGTAGTTCAGTGAAAGTTAGCATCCTGTCTAAGTATAAGAGAAGACATAAAAGGTTTGTGGCGTGGTTGAAGGAAGAAAAACAGAAGAATGAGAGAGTGCGGAAAGCATTAACAGGAACTTCGGTACCAAGATTAACATTGTGGATTTATGCCAACTTCAAGGTAAGGCTTCAACCGTCTTTAGTCCTGCAACTTCCACCTGGTGCATCCCAACAAATGGCTAACGAGAAAGCTAAATTGACCACTACAACATTTTTTCTTAGATAAAGATCAAAGGAGGTGAGAAATGTGCTCATTCATGCTTGCTTTGAAATGATTTCTACTTCCTCTAAGGTGTTTCCCTCTTTAGGCATTCAATTACCGTGCTGAAAATTTGGTCATTTTAGATATCTTTTTGCCATTGGAGAGCTTAAGAGATTTCTTCTCAATAGATTCTGATCTAAGTAAACCTAGGAATTAGTTTTTTTTTAGTTAGATTTTGTTTACAAATATTATGTGGTTGAAGAATTCAGGTGAGCCAGTAACAGTTCAATTTCCTTGTGAGCTTCGGGAATTGTACTTACAGTTGCATTTGGAAGGAATATTGTTTGTTTACAAAGAAAAAGTAGAGAATAATACTTGTGTCTTGAAGTTATTAGCTTTTACAAAGTAACCTAATGCTAAAAAATTGGAGGACCCTAAGGAACATCTCTCTAATGTGCTTGTTTCAACATCAAGATTCGGCCAATGTGCTTGATGTATATAGTCATGCCTAGACAGCAAAATTAATCAGAGAAGAGAGAACTAAAGCTAGTGATTGTAACAATTACTTCATTCTGCTCCAAAGGTTAAGACACCCAATATCTACCTCATAACGACACACACAAAAAAAAGAAGCTCTTAAAGGTAGGCAAAGAGAAAGATCAGATACAGATAACTTGTTTCGAAAACTAACCTCAACGCACCAAGCACCCAAAGTTAAGTTCTCAACATGTTTAAGGCTCCTAATTAGCTCCATTAGGTTGTCCTGCTGCCCTTTTAAGTTCTTCTTTTCAGCACTAAAACCAGTGTGCGGACGAAAATTGAGGGTGGCATTAACAACGGACGGCACATTCATCAAAATACACTTCCTATAAAGAAATCCTGATAGGCGCAGGGTCTGAACATTGGGCGCTGAAATTGTCATGATGGGACCAAGTTCAAACTCAACTGATTCCCATTCACATACAATCAGTGTTCTTAAAGAAGGAGAATCAATATTCAGATCATCATAGCCCCAGCAAGAATCCAAGTCAAGGAATTCCAGTTTTGGAGCACCCACCATAATCTTATGAACATCTTGATTCCTCAACACCGAGAACCGGAGGGTTAACTTTGTCAACAAGTTCCAGGATATTTGCACATCACTTATAAACTTGCAGCTCCACAAACTCAATATCTTCAATGAAGAATTGCGATACACACACTGAGGTGGGAACCAGTAGCAACAGTCTTGATTAAATTCTAAGAAGAGCTCTTCTACATTATTCTTTGCAGCATACAGAATCCATCCATCATAATCTTTACGATAACTAGCATTTAAAAAGAGACCAATTTTAAGTCTTCTGATCTTAGAAGTGCCACGAGAAAGCAAGGTCCGATTCACAAAGTCCACATAATTCTGATAGGGATAGAAATCATCATCACTAAAATCAAGATTTGGGACAGTTGACCACAGGTGTCGCCAGTGTTTGGAGAGAATGGCTGTTCTGACAAGATCTCTCATGTTCACAAATGAGAGGATGTGAACCAGTATCCGTTCAGGCAGCTCACTAAGTCGATCCATAGGGGAAAGGAATCAACTTCGAGGACAAGCTCACTGATTTGGCAATAATCCAGAACTCAGTTCCTGTTCACTGCATATAGTTATCTCAATTGCTTCAGGAATAGGGTCAAAGGGTGACTTTATTCACTGAAGGATGAGATTTTTTCCCAGGATTGATAAAAGGAGAAAGTCATTAATCTTTATCAACAACCAACAACAACAACAACCCAGTATAAACCCACTAGTGGGGTCTGGGGAGGGTAGTGTGTGTGCAGACCTTAGGGTAGAGAGGCTGTTTCCAATAGACCCTCGGCTCCCTCCCTCCCAGAACTCTCCACCTTGAACTCACAACCTCTTGGTTGGAAGTGGAGGGTGCTCACCGCTAGAGCAACCCACTCTTGTCAATCTTTATCATCAATCCAAAAAGGAAAATCATTGGTGATTACAGCATACTAGTAAGAGATAAATCCCATCATATTCAGCTACAATCAAACAAATTTCAATCTATGAACATAATCTTTTTATTTTTGAAATGGTAAATTAGCTTTGAACACAATCTTAATACACCAAAACTCAAAGACATCAAACTACAGTATAAATCAGCAACATTCAAGAAACTGCAACTCCAAAAAGACAGTATATCCTTCTCAAAAAAAAAAAAAAAAAAAGACAATATGAATGGATCAATATAAGCTAGCAGGCCTTTTTCTTAAGGCTTGAAATTCTTGAAAAAGCATATGAAAACCAAATCTAAAGCAGTGGAAATTCAGAAACAATTTTGATGTTGAGGTCTTAAAGGCATGCAAGGAAAAACACTGTGCAATGATCTAAGCCCCTTTACATAAACAGAAAATCCAAATAAAAATACAACAAAAAAATCAAAGATCAGAAGAAATACCATATAGCTACTGTAGTCATCAGAAGAATGACAAAACGAAGAAAGGGAAAAGAATCATTTACCTGAAGCTGTCGGTAGAGTGGAGCAACAAGTGGAAGTACAAAATAATGTTTTTTTGTCATTTATTTATTTATTTCTTCTTTTTCTCCCAAGCGTGGAGAAGAATTGGAATAATTGCCAGCATGGAAATAAATTTTCTACGTATTTATATAATTTTTATAGATTATTTGGTTGGGGTTTGGTATAGTTTTGGTTAAATTGTCAAAATTGGTCAATTTATTCAACTCTTTTATGTTCCATCAACCCAAGAAGAAGTGCATTATTGCAGGTACAAGGACAAACGATAATTAATCTTAAAATTAAATTTGAGATGAGTTTATTTTATATTTAATTAAAATAAAATTATAACATAATTAAAATCACAAAATATTCTGTAGCTTAATATAACATTTATTACTTTTGTTTTACAAAAAATACTGTATTCGATTGATAGTAATTAATTGATCATATATTATTCAAACTCGTGCCACAAAAAAAAGAAAGTAATTTCTTCTTTTGTTTTATCAAAAGTAGGAAGATATTTTAATATTTACTTTCCAAGATTACAAATCAAATAGGCCTTATTAAAGTATATCGAAAAATAATTAAATTAAAATCGTGCGAAGACGAAAAAGTGGCTGAGAGAGAGAGTTTTAGAAGAATAGCTAGTTTGACAGAACATTGACACTACACATACAAAAAATATAAAAGGAAAAAAGAAGGCGACTTCATCACCCAAAATTTCAAGATTTTCTTAAAGAGAGGCTAAGAGGGGAAGAATTTTTCTTTTTGTATTTAATATTTAGAGAATTTTATTTGGGTTTCTTTTTATTGGAGAAAATCAGAAAGGAGTGAGTATTGTTGTTTGTAGGATGATGGTGTCGATGAGATACATAGTAATATTGTGTTATGTATTTTCAGCTTTTGGATACGTATTTTCATCGTATAATACGAATACGTTTTTGTACGATCTGAGGTCTCAATGCCCTCTTCGGATCTCCTTTCCACCTCCTTTGCTTGTTGAGGTAATTTAATTTCTTTATCTCTTTTTTTTTTCTGGGGATTTTTTGTTTATTTGGTTTCAGTATATATCTGGTATTTTTGTATTGGGGTTTAGTTGATTAATTGAAAAGGGTTGAATTTTTCAAAAATTTTGCTGTTTGATTTTGCTAAAGATTTCATATTTTTTGAAGTGGTTTTCTTATTTTTGTGATTATTAGGGGTTTGAAGTTGTTATAGGATTTGTGAGAATCTTTGCTGGGGTTTTTTCCCTTTGATTAATTGGGTTTATTTTGTCAATAGCTTATCATGGTTTGATTATGACTTGTGATTAAGTGATTTTTCATTGAGTTGCTTCTGTTTTTGTTGATTTTCATTATATTTGCTTTAAAAGATTGGATTTTTAAAGTTAATTTGGGGTTTGAGATTATCTTATGATTCAGTAGATAAGGTATTGGAGAAAATACAGATTTTTCAAGTCATGGTAATGTGGAGATACTTGTATTCAGATGTGCTGTCAACTTTGGCAGTTTTATAACTCCCTTGTTGCATCATAGCTCATTTTAAGTACTTTCAATAGCTAATCATGGTTTAGTTTTGCTTACTCATGGAGTTGCAGCTGATTGTTTAGGAGCATCTTTTGAAAAATATGAATTTGGTAATGTATATTGCTGTAGACGTTGAAAAGATTACTTAAGTCACCGGTGATATGGAAATTCTATCATTAAGTATTGAACATTCCTGTTTCAGGGTCCTCTTTGTAACTCCTTGTTGCAGCATAGCTGATCATTTGAGCATAGTTTAGATGGAAAAACTAAAGATTTTCTTTGAATTAAGAAATTACAAAAGAACAATATTTTTTATTGAGGATTGGAGAAACAGATCAAAGTAATCTGGAGTATTAAGTTGTATTGGTAGTCCCCCCAAACTTGTTTTGACTGAGGTGTTGTTGTTATTGTTGTTGTTGATAGCCTCCCCATCATTGCAGAGGCGCCCATGAGTAGGATACTGTATGATGGAATGACATTTACTTTGTTTTTGAAGATTTATTTGGAAATTGTATTTCATGTCTCGAGAGTAGACAGTGAAGTGTACATAGTGCGTTTAGAAATATTGGTTTTTGGATATTTTATCATGAATATATGTATAGATAAAAAAGATGTGTAAGTGGTATCAGCAGCCTCCCCTCATCCCCTGGCGAAGCCTTTGAGTTGGAAAAGCTCAATATCATGTGATTAATTTTGTTTTGGAGCTTTGCCAAGTGTTGCAAAGTGTATTCTATTGTTTCGAGAGTAGACAACGAAGTGTGCATAGAGAGGAAAACTTGGGTTCGAAGAGTGTTAGGTGAACTGGTCAGCTTCTGTAATGTCCTTTAGGATGACTGCTCCTATGGACATCCTCTAATGATTTTTTTCTTTTATCAGCAAACATCCGCTGATAATGATTTGACTGATTGTGAAACATCAATCATGGCATTTTATCTTGGCTGCAATCAGAATGTGGCATTATTTCCACTCTAGGTGAACATTATAATGTTTTTCAACAGTATTAGGGAAGGGGGAATCCATAAGAATAAGTTTTTATTTAACCTCCTCTGGCTCCATGCTTCTCTTGTCCTAGTAAATCCACACTTGGTATGCAAGTTAAAGCAAGGCACTTATATTACAACTTCCTAGTTCCTACAAGCTAAAGATGGCAAGAGCTTGGTTTGAAGGGTGACAATAGCATGTATAAGAGCCGGAATAGAATTAGGAAAAGAACCGGCTTTCAGGTAAGTGAATGAAGAAGTGGTCATCAAGTGGTTAATAACGGAGTAGTTGGTAGTCAAGCTCTATTATGCTGAATGGATGTTTACCTAACTTGCGGTTGGGGCTTCAAATGGTTTTGTAATGTTGGGATCATCATTGAAAAACAGATTATTAAACTTATAATGTGGGTTCTCTAGATGATGATGTACCAAATAAATGTCCATCAGTGTGCGATTGTTTGTGTCTCAGTAATATACATCACTTTGGTTCTGGGATTGCTCCTTTTTGGGGGGGCTTGTTATGTGTTGAATGCAACAGGCGGCTTATTCTCTCTTTGATGTGAAAGCTTTTTTATTTGTAAGTTGTTTTCAAAATTTAGCTTCTACCTCCATAGCTGGTCTTTTAGTTTCTTCTGGATACTTGTGAGGAATGTTTATTCTTTTCTTACATTAATTCATCTCCAGCCTGAAGTGCGTGCAGCCTTGTTAAGCAGTTTGTGCTGAATGGATGGATCTTATTTAGATCTCCTTTTACAGTTTTCCATAGTTTACATTTGTTATATTATCATTTTCTTTCCATTTGTTCCTTGGGGCAAGAGAGCTGGGTTGTGTTTTCTTTTCTTTTTCTTATATGGTGTAGGAGAGGGAATTGTGGACCTAATTTCTCATAAATAACTTTATAATTCGTCACGTAAACTACGTTCTTCTATTTTTTTATGGCATGCATCTTAATATAGTTATTTTTCTTTTTTATCGTGATTTTTGTGCCTTTATTCAATCTCCTCACAAAAGACGGATGGAGAATCACTTGACAAGGCTCTAGGGTCCAGTCAGAAAGATGATGTTACTGCTATTTTGTTCTATGCCTCGTGGTGTCCTTTCTCGACAGATGTTAAATCAAAGTTTGGTGCTCTGAATTCCATGTTCCCGCGAATCAGACATGTGATGGTTGAGCAATCAAAAGCCATGCCTAGGTGGGTTCAATTTTTGCTGCATTATTATCTTTTCTGAGTATGTTAAAGCCGTGCCATCTCTATTAGCATTTTGCTCCACCATTAGAGCTTGTGCAATACAGCAGTAACTGCTCACAAGGTGCCATTAAAATTTATGAAAACTGCTGATCCCTGACTCCCCTTTTTGCCCCTTTTAAGAATACTTAACCATTGCTGGATATTAAATAATTAAATAGTTGAAAAAGTGCTGAAAGCATGCCATCTATGACTGATACTGGCAGTCCAAAGAGTCTAAACCGGTAAAGTTTCCACATATAAGGCCGCATACACACTCGTCACCTCGTTTACGTGTCTTTCACGCAATTCAAATTGTACAATCAAACTAATCCCTACGAGGTAGTTACCCCACACAAAGAGCTCCAATAGCGTATATTTAAGTTGTTGCAGTTAAAAAGCTCGTAGTTGGACTTTGGGATGGGCCGGCCGGTCCGCCCTAGGTGTGCACCGGTCGTCCGTACCTGGGATGTCGTCCCAACTCTACCTTTTTGTTTTCAGGATGTGGATGTACTGCATGCAAATTTGTCTAGGGAAAAGTATGAGATTGAAACTGTCAGATAAATTTACCTTATCAAAAAAGTAAATATCAGATGAATATTTCCTCGTAGTGACAGAAGCCTTTTTGAGTCCTTACCTACATATGCTTTCAATTAAATAGGTACTATTATGTGCATCAATAATATGGCATGTGTGCTACATCATAAAGTTTCCCAATAAAAGGAAAATTGATAAAAGTATTTGGCATTTTCCTCTCTCCCAAGCTTCTCTGCTCTCGTTCAGCTATTCCTCTCAATTTTAATCACGTGTCTTGCCTCTCACCTGCAGTGTCTTCTCCAGATATGGAGTTCACAGCTTTCCAGCAATATTGATTGTGAATCAGACAACGAGAGTGTGGTATCATGGCCGGAAAGATCTTCAGTCTCTTGTGAACTTCTACAAGAGGACTACAGGTGACCTTTCCAATTACTTGCCTATATTCTCCTTTTGCCTGCTCTTGGGTGGCATAATTGTAAGAGTTCATCCTAACTGTTTGGAGGAGTGAGCATTTTTCATCTTTTCCAAAACACTAGCTAAGCCTAAAATTAGGTCATTGCGCTTTGATTAATGTGGTGGAATGGTTTTAGCTTTTCAATTTCATTACATTTGGTTTTCAGCCTGGTGCCATTTTTTTAAGGAAAAGATGGAGCGGATCGGCCCAA